TGAAGACACGATTATGTAGGAACTCTTTTGAATTTATGTAGGAAAAGAAATGTGCTAGTGTGTTTCACATTTCATAATGCAAACAAAATCCTTCAAATGTCACAATTTTGTGGCAGCAAACTTCAGCAAAGAATTATAAAAGGACATCGAAACTTCCATTTTAAAAGGAAATGATCGCTTTAGATTTTTTATGATCCTTATTTTTACTGAAATGGCTGAAAGTCATTCACCAAAGAAAAATGCTAAGATATTTCATTTGTTAAAATCAACCCATTTTATAGTCAAAAGAAGCGCAACTTGAACAACTTAAAAGACATTTGAAATTTCTCATTTCTAAAAATATGTTTCTGCAAAACCAGTAATTCTTTATGGTATTTATGAGATGAAGCTGTAAGTATTTAAAAAAATAGGGCGTAAGTCTTTTTCTCCTTCCCTTTCATCCAGGATGCATTCCACTTGGAGAGTTGGAGGTGGTGGTTGGAAATTCTCAGGTCAAGAAGGTCCATAATGTGGTCTTTGAAACAGAAAATGATTTATGCTGTAAAGGGTTATGAGACTAAATCCTATTTGCTTATAATCCTCTGCTTCCATGTATTAAGGTTAGAAGGGCTGAAGGTTAAGGAGCAGAAGCAAAAGTGACTGGCTTATTCCTGCCCTAAGGTATAAAGTCCTAGAAAAGGCTCCCAACTCCTAATGATAGCTCTGGCTTATCTCCTCAGTGTCATTTCATGCTACTTTTCCCCTGGCCATACTGAGCTGTGGCCACACATTACTTAAATTCCTGAGATGCAATCTGCTTATCCACATTGGAAAAACAGAACCAATGCTGCTGGAAACTGTTCTTTCTACCCTTTATCCGTGGGTCCTATTGCCACCATTACCAGTGCATTCCGACACACGCATAGCCTTGCTTGTTCCCTCCTCTTTTCTGGGACATTACTAAGTGGCACATTTCATCTCAGGGACACCCTGGTGATTCCTACGACCATGGCATCACTGTAAATAGTCAGTGAAAGAAAGTCTTGCCTTACTGAAGACTAGTGAATAAGTTACTTCACTGCCTTTTGTTTTCAAATATTAGCTAGCAACTAACTAAATATTCAAAATTATGTAAATATTTGTTATCTTAGCTATCTGCTGTTTTTAAAACCACCACTGGACATGTATTAATTTTTGTGTATCGGAATATTAATAAATAACCAAGCTTTTTTGTTACTGTAATTACAAGCTCTGCAAGTTGTAAGTTTCAAGATTGCTTCAAAATTATCATAAAGTTAGTGAATCTTTTAAAAAAAGAGGTACAGCATGAAATTGCAGCGGGAAATTGGAGATGGGATCTTTCTTATCTGATTGCAACATAACACAACATTTTTCTGTTGTGTGATATTTTATATTCATAGATCTCACTCACCATAGATAAATACTATCTCTTAAGATAATTAAGGCTATAAATATCTCCATACTTCACAGGCCATAAAGATGTGACACCAGGACTGTTTTTTCAGGATGCATTTCTTTTCACTTTAAATAAAGAAATTTTTGAAAACCATGTGCCACTGTTTAAAATAATTAGAAATTGTAATATAATTCTGATAGAATAAACCTGTGGTTGATTCAATCAAACATGCGTGAAGCACGAACACACATACCATTACTGAATTACTATTTATGTAATTACAACTAAAAATCTGAAAAGATACAAAATACAATTTCTTAAAACAGTTAAAGCTTAAAAGGGAAAATGTTCTTTTTGCCTAAGGAAAGTATATCCACAGTGACTTTCTTGTTTGAGTAAGTAAGAGCATTTGCTGGGTTTTGTTTTGTTTTTGTTTTTGTTTTTGACTGGGGATCAAACTCACAACCTCACGCTTGCTAGGCAGGCATTTATGCCACTGAGCTAAATCCCTAGCCCCATTTGCTCTTTTATAAGAGTAGCAAAGCTGTGAAGAACATTTCAAAGCAAAATGTGTTGCTACTTATCTGTCCTCCAAAAAATCAAGCACTGGATTTCATTGGTTCTTGCTTCTCCTCATCTTTAACAATGCAGGCTTCTTTATTCCCGGTTTTCCTAGTTACATTTTGTCTTCTTAACTGACTAAAATCCACATCAAGACTGACTCACTACTTTCCGTTAGTATATAAAACACCAGAAAATATAACAAGTGTTCCAGGGAACGTGGAGAAATTGGAACCCTAGTGAACTGCTAGTGAGAATGTAGAGCAGCATAGTCACTGGAAAAAATAATATGGCATTAATGAAAATACTCAAAAGATGAAAAGCAATTCACATGTCTGCTGATGGCTGAATGGATAAACAAAATGTATTAAATACATGCAACAGAATATTACTCAGCTTAGCAAGGAAGGAGTTCCTGACACATGATACAAGTGGGATGAGCTGTTAAGACATTACACTAGCCAGGGACACAGTTCAGTGGCACAGTGCCTGCCTGGAAAGCACAAGGTCCCGAGTTCAATTACCAGTACAAAAGAAAGAAAGAAAGAAAGAAAGAAAGAAAGAAAGAAAATAAATTATCAAAATACTACGCTAAGTGAAATGATCCAATCCAGAAAGAACAAATACCAGGAGACTGAAGGATAGACCAAGCAAGTTAGTTAAAACGTGCATAATGGGTTTCAGTTTGGGAACATGAAAAAGTTTTAGAAATGGATGGTGATGATGATTACACAGTGATGCAGGTACGCTTAATACTACTGAAGTCCACACTTAAAAGTAGAGAAAATGGCAAGTTCTGTGTTAGATATATTTTACAAAACAAAAATGTTTCATAAAAGTCATTATTTAAAAAAAAAAAAAAACACAACTTGAAACTTGACGTTTGACATCTGCTACCAAGTGTGTATTTTGCCTTCAAGGGAAAGTAAAGGAAAACCTTTACTAAAATAAACAATTTAGGCTTCAAGTGGTGGAAACTGTTCCTAGTTTCCCACTCAGCAATGAATAAACACTCCCAGTCTTGCAATTGGAACTTACATGAAGTATACTCTTTCCAGAGATATTTTTCAAAAAATGTTTAATGCACTTCCCAGTACAATTCAGAGTAGTTTCTAAATTATTAATGTAAACCAGGGCATGGACAAGATGCTAGAAACTGCAGTTCATTCTTTTACTTTTCCTGGATTGTAATGAAAACAACTTACCATGGACTCTTTTTTTGATAAGGATATACAGGCACTAGAATTATATATCCCATTAGCTACCAATGACAGTATAGTCATACACTATGATTAATAAATACGTTCTGAAAATAGATTGGCAAATGTATTTCAGAAGTAGTAGGTATAACTGTTAGAATTTTAAGAAATATAATGCTTATGTGATTTCCTTATCTGAAGTTATATAATTTTCCTTAACATCTATTTAATTTCCCTGTATAAAAAAGGTAACAGTAGTTTAGTTTTAGTAAATTTGATTCACAAAGAATTTAGGAGCACAATCTAAGTATGATATAATTTTAGAATTTTGTTTTACAGGAAAAATATGAAAAGTCAACATTTTATAAAATGATATACTAAGAATTCTTTAATAGATGGAGGAAATTTAATTTATTGCTGTTGTCTTATGATGCTCTTGGCTGAACTGTGTCCTCCCAAAATCCACGTTAAGATTCCGACCCTAAGTGTGAATTATTTGGAGATAGGGCCTATAAGAAGATAATTAAGGCTAACTGGAGGTATAAGTATGAAGCTCTAGTTCAATATGATTGATGTCCTTAAAAAGAGACAGAAAGGAAGAGCAGCAGCAAGGATGCATGCTTCCAGAGGAAAGGGCATGCAAGGACACAGACACAACGCAGACCTAGCTGTCTGCAAACCAAGTAGTCTCAGGAGAAACAAATTCTGCCAGCAACTTAATCTTTGACTCTCAGCCTCCAGAACTGTCAGAAAATTATTTGTTGTTTTGTTAATCCATCTAATCTATGATATTTCGTTATGACATCAAATGGCAAGTCAAGAAAAAAATCAGTGATATGAAAAGATAAAAACATAATAAATGAGAGACATATTTCAACTCTGAACAGAATACATGAGCGATGTAAGAAACCCAGATATATATACCATATATAGATCCCATAAAACATAGTGCTATAAAATAAAAGCTTTATGGTCCTTTAAGAAATTGTTGCTAAATATGTCTGAACACATGAATTTCTCCTAGTATACTGTCCTGGTTACTTTTCTCTCATTGTTGAGACAAAATACTCAACACTTAAAATTAAGGAAAAAAAGGTTTATTTAGCTCACAGTTTGTAGAGTTTTCAGCACATATTCACTGGCTCCAAGACAGAGTGGCATATGGCAGAGGAGCAACAGTTCATGGTGGTGGAAGACAGCAAAAACAACAGGAGCAAAAAGAGAAGGGTGAAGAGAAAAGACTATTTCTGTCCCTTATATTGCACGTAGGCCACACTCGTGAGTGTGGCACTCACACCTATAATCCCAGCATTGGACCATGGAAGTCTGCCCCTATGACTGCATGAGGCTTTGTGGATAATATCCAGACACAAACCATAGCATACGCTATTTACAAATAGATAAAGTCCCAGTTCTACTTCCAGGTCACAGGGTCACAGGTCCTCCTTTAAAGTCTTCATTCAAAAATACCCTCACTGGGTAAGTCATGAAATTGACTATGGATTTAATTCTTCCATTATCATGTTTCTAATCTCTTCATTCACACTGGCTTCCATACACTTTTTTGCTAGTCCATGTACTAATACAAAACAGTTGCTATACTATCACATTTGAGCCAAACCAGGTGATGGCCACTTTGGCCTACGTTTACTGAATAAAAAATAATACACATATTTTGCATTAAGACATACACAAAATATAACAGAACTCAAGTATCTCTTCAGGAAATGGGAAGTATTTCAATGAAAAATTGTCTTAGGAAAGAAACAGGAGTACAGTAAAGTCTCATGTTTTCATTCAAACTAACCCAGTATTTTGCTAGATTCAGTTTTACAAATACTTACAGGAAAACTTTCTTGAAACATTCCTGATAGTCCAGCAAAACTCCAACTGGAGACACGAGATAAATGGAAAGACTTTCTTGGCATAAAGCTTCTCCAGTCATCAAATGGTTTGCCTGTTAGAAATATCAATGTATTTTAAAATAATATTTGTCCAGAAAAAAGTACACACGAATTGTATGGCTTAATGTTACAAAGAGGGAAGCAAAGCACTTTTATGAGTTCGGTATTCTGTGCTAAAATCATATTTTTATCATCCAATTATTGACAAATGAAGAAGTGATAGCACTGCATAAAGACGGGCTTCAGTTCACTAGCTTCTTCACACGGTAAAGCTCTCGTGTTTTTATTACATACAGTGCAACCATCAGAAAACTAATAGGCTCGTTTTCTCCCTTTTCTTCAAGATCACTGACTTCTTTTTAAAAGGAACGTTAAAGCCAAATCATATTTGTAAAAAGCACTTATAAAAATGAAAGGAAAACTTATCTACCATATAAGTACTTTAAAAGAAAATTTAGGGTTATTATGAAGGCACAAGCTTTGAAGTTGCAAACTAAATGGAATTATTCAAAGTTTTAAGGTAAACACTGAAAGAGCAAAAGTTTAGCCAACAGATACTCCCTCTTTCTTCTTACTTGTGGTAGTTGTCTCATAGGATTTCTGCCGTATATTTTTTTCATGTGGGGAAATTTAAGATTTATGTGTCCAGAGCCAGGCATCGTGGTGCACGCCTATAACCCCAGCACTCTGGTAGGTCAAGGTTTGTGGTCTGCAAGTTCGATCTTAGCCTGAACAATTTAGCAACTTAGCAAGACTCTGTCTCAAAATAAAAAATAAAAAAGGATAATCATACAAGCAAAATTTCTAGAAAGGGATAAAAAATAAAAAGGATATTTTGCCAAAAGTACTGTGTTCAGGTCCCAGTACTTCCCCCTAAAAGAGATTTACACGTCCAATCATTTTTCAGAAATACTAATTGGTTTAAACAGAGAACCCTTTAGTTCAATCCCACAATCCAAATGAATTTTCCTTCTAATACCATAAACATATATTTTCCTGAAACATTCAGTTTAATCCATGGACTGGTTAATTTTCATAGAATTTAGAGAAAATGCAGAAGTAGTTCATCGTAGCATTTAATTGCCTCAATTTATTTATAGTATCACAAGTTAAGTGTTCTACAGAGAGACAAAGAAGTAACACAAAGAAAATGTGTTATATTAGATATATTCCAATAAACATACATACATCCTACCACATTTCAGTTCTATATGTGTTTCTCCCACTCAGTCAAAAAGTCTCTGTCTTTAATCGAACAAGCAAAATTTCTAGAAAAGGTAACAAAAGAAAGCATACATTTCAATCAAATATCAGAGAATAAATGGAACTCTTTAATGAAAGCAAATGCCAATAACAAGGTGCTGGTAAAGCACTGAGAATTTTAGTATCGGAGAAGATGACAGGAAGGGAAAGGCCATACAATTTGTATTTTAATTGGGGACCTTCATAAGCCAAAGAGGGTATAAAAGAATAACCCAAGAATTAGAACAGGTATACAAGCCCTCACAATACAAGCCTTCATAATAAGAAAGCTTATTTTGAAGCTTTCTTGATTAATTCAAAGCATCCTCCAACTCACAAGCATGTGCCTGACCTCCCCATTTCCCTCAATGTACTTCTACGATAAGCATTCTCATTTATTTTCGATAATTGTGATTCTTTTCAATCTCCCTTGTAAATTTATAAACTCTTCTGGGGCAAGGACAGTATCTAATTTGGCATGGTTCTGTGTTTCTGGTTCATTAATAATGTGAATCATGTAGCTACATCAACACTCTAAGAATTGCTCTCAAGAGGTTAAATCTCACAGGCAAAGCAGGGATCTTCCTGATCACTGCAATACACAGCTATACAACTTACTTTTATAACGTAGTCCAGAGCATTTCCAAATATTTTATCTTGTTTACCCACAAAAGAGGCTCAGACAGTCAAGAAGACCACACATTATTTTTCCAGTATATAGGTATCACACTAGAAAATATAGCTATAACTTTTCCACTTCAGAAAGCAGTAAAGCCTCCAGTAAAGCCTCAAGGTAATCATTCACACACTGATATATGCTAATGACTCCCTTCTGGAAGACAGGCATGCAAGGTGACTGGCAACAAATTCCAGTTTACGCCACAAAGTCACTGGAAAGTTACAAACTGAGAGTTTGAAGAAAACCAAGCTCATATTTTGGACTAAATCTTCAAAGACACTTCACAGAGTTAACAGCCTTCATAGCCAATGCCAGGGAAAAATAACGATTCTGATTCCTAGGTTCATGTGCTCAGGAAGTGCACTGGGGAACAAGAACTGGCTGCATGATGACACGTGAAAAAATCGTGACGCTATTGGTAGTCCTACTTATCAGCCAGCAGGACAGAATAAAACAGTGCTAGATCTAAATACCCTGGAAAACGCTATGTTAAACATTGGAAAGAAATAAAAATAGTTATATCAGTTTAACAAGAAGCCAATTACATAGCAGTTATTCTTGAACACTGAAAAAAAAAGATTTCTGTTAAATCACTACTCACAGAGGCATCTTCCTGATTACATTTCCTCAATACTTACTACAGATTTTTTAAAAATATTATAACACAAGTTCATGTTGTTTTCTATATTCTATCTTCTTGCCATACACAGCCTTAATTATTTCTTTAACTTGTTTTCTCCATAAAGAAAAACATAATATTGTGCCCCACACATGTGTGAAGGTAAACTCCCAGATCCCAGGACTAATTTGGCATTTACTGAAAGGCCGACCAGTGAAACTGTAACAGTGAAAAATTTTATGTAAAGCAGCTAAAATATACACGGAACAATACAAATGCCTTTAAAATGGACATAAAATTCTGCTTTTTTCCAGGACCAAACATTTTTCACCAGATCTTCTTTTCTTGCTAAAATCATCTTCATATTTATAATCATAATGTTTTCTAAATACTTTTTGGTTACAGGTGATTTTTATTTATTTTCCATATTTATTTGTACTAATGCAGATAACAATGTACCAATTATTTACACAGATGGGAGATGTTTCTTAAGTATAGTTATTTTAGTAATTTAAATTGCTCAAATGACTTACAGAAAACAGAGAGGATCCTATTCACTATAGGTATATTCTCGCCAGACAAGGAGAAAAGAAGAAAAGAAATGTAAAAAGAGTCTTAGCTTGTCAAAAAAGAAAAAGAACATGTATACCACTCTATAATTTTTGTAATGATGTACATTTCCTCCATTTTACTAGTAATAGATTTATTCAATTTGTCTGAAAATTGGCAAGAGACAACAGAAATTCAAACTTCGGATATCGTGTTTCAATCAACCAGGAAACCAAATGCTGCTAAGAAATAGTCTATTTAACTCCTCCAAGAGAGGCTAAGGAAGTCTCAAGGAAACTGTAATGCATCTTTATTAGGACATGACAAAACAAAAAACCCCACTGGGTCCAACAGTCCCGAATCCCCAGAGCCTCTTCTATGCCAAGCTCATTCTGCTTTCCTTTTATCAATCCCCTTGTATCCATTAATTCTTAGAGTTAATTGCACATGCAGTTTTAATCTGTAGGTAATTACAAACAATTAATAGTTAGGAGACAGAATTAGTTCTTAGTCTGATTATCTATATAATTAAAAGGGACGGTAAATTAGAGTTGACAAATAGCATCTTAATCATTTGAATAATCAAACTTCAGAAGCGGCTGGGTAGCTGAATTCCATCTGTTTCACTTCTTTAAATTTTAGAATAAATGACTGAAATGTCCATTTATACCAATTCATGTATGTTAGTTTATAGTACAAAAATGAAGAAGATATATATTCTGCAATCATCTAAAGTACCTTCTTTCATTTGTTTTAGTGAGCTGTTTCCAAAAGAATTAAACAAAGATAAAGATTTAGTAGGGGAGCAAAAATAACACCACTTCCTCACCCACTGCACAGTTCATGGCTGACAAGCTGGTCCAAAGACTGACTGATAAGAGCAAAAAAAGTTTATTTATCAAAGATTTGTGTGATGCAAGGATCTTCAAAAATGAAGACCCAAAGACCAAGGGATAATTGTGTATTTTTATGCTTATACACAATGAAGAACATAGAAGTTTAACTGCATACAAGGAAGGTATGAGTCAATGGTCATAAATCCAGGCAGGTGAACTTACCAAATTCTGTCTCTTCAGACTGTTCTAGGTTTCCAGGTACATGACAGGACACTCACTGCCTTGTGATTATTTCCAGGACAGAAAAGATGAAGTCAGAGTGACCTTCCTAAATGTTATGACTTGTTTCAAGGAAAAGGAATTACAGGTTTTTTGTTTTGTTACATTTTGGTTTTCAGTGTTTTTGTTTTGCTTTGCTTTTTTGAGATGGCATCTCACTCTGCAGTTAGGCTGGCCAAGAACTTCCCTATGTAGCCCAAACTGGAAGGGCTTTGTGTCACAGCAATCCTCCTGCCTCAGCCTCTCAAGTGCTAGAATTTCAGTCCATCTTCCTAGCTAGAAATTGCTATTTCTCTGACTACGTCAGGGGAAAAAGGTGGGCACAGGAAAGTGAGAGATAATTTTCCCTGCCTCTGCAACCTCCCAGTTTCCTCCAGCTCAGAGTACTCAGCACACTAAGGCATTTTGTTTTCAGGTTCTGAGCCCAGACACATTCAACAGCCCAGCTTAAGTCACCTGGCTCCCTGAGTGCCACTTAATAATTGTGCCCCTTAATAATGGTAGTTAAGAGGTATTAAAATTCAGATTGTTACATACCTTATACACGTTACCGATATAACCTGTCTCCGAGTCACAAAATGCCTGAGAAATATGCATGAAATGTTTGAGCAATGTCCTATTTAACACTTACTTAGGGATATGCTGAGAAACGGCAAATAAGATAGACCTTCCATCCTTTTTCAGCCATCAAATGGGATTGGTGGTTTGTAGACTGAGGGAATTATTAAGCAGTATGATAAGTTTAACAAGAGTTAGAAAAAGTGTAGCAACTTCATTCTGACAGAAAAGAATATCATCCAGAACAAGGGCTGCATCATTGTCTAATGTTTTCCTGAATTGCCAAGTATT